CATTTGATATACATCAGGTCTCACCCCTGTGACTAAATAAGACTGCTTTACAGCCATTCATTACTTAAGAAAAGTATATTAAAAGTATTTTTATATGCTAAAGAACATAATTCCAAAGCTACGGAATCAAATTTGTCATTTATGTTAGCATTAAATAGGAAAAATATACAAAGCAACTATCTTTCCCCAATATATTGTACAAACAAAAAGATAATGGAAGAGGATGCGATCTTCTTGATCGACATAACAGCATTTCAATCACCATAAGCTGTTAAAATCGCGAAAATATGTTGGTTTTTTGCTACAAAAATGCTAGTTCTATAATTATTTAGGATAATTATATTCACACCATGATTTTTTACAAATTGCACTGCATTTTCATCGTAATAGTTATGTCCTTAAATTTGCTACTTAATCATATTAACTTTTTTTGTCAAATTTTATTTTTCAATTTTCCATTAATTATCACATCTTGTCTATTCTAATTGTTTTCATCCTAAAAGTTTATTGAGATATCACAAAAAACTTATTTGTCCATTTTATTTTTAAAAAAAATCAAAAGTGCAACAATTTATTTTTCCTTAATGTCGTAGTATGCAAATAGATTATTTTGACAGAGACTATGATAGCAATGAAATATGCTAATTAATATAAGTTCAGAGATCAAATTTTGATGGAAAAACAAATAAATTAAGGACATATAACACTACAAAAAAGGGCTCCAGCGGCCAACCCTTTAACGACCATAATGAAGTGGTCGCTGCAATATACTTTCATCGACCATAGACTGGTCGATGCAGGGCGTTGGCCTGCTAAATTGAAATTTTTTTCGAAACTCTTTTTGCGACCATATAGTGGTTGCTGGTTATCATTTTTAGCAACCACCAAATGTTCGTCGTTGAATAATCGGTCACTACATATTCGGTGACCAACTAGTGGTTGCTGGTAGAATGTTCCAGCGACCAAATTTGTTTAGTCCCTGAAAGACTTAGCACAATTACTCTTGTTTTTCCCACGTTTTTTAGATTCTTCAACGACCAAAGCATGTGGTTGCTGATTAGTACAATGTTCCAACGACTATAGTATGGTTGCTGGTTGTATAACTTTCAGCAACCAAATTTTGTTTAGTCACTAGAACACTTAGTGCCATCACTCCCGCTTATTTTTTCAACATTTTGACTTCTATAGCACCAAATTCGTCGGTCCCTGCTTAGTCCAAGGTTCAGCGACCAAACATTTGTCGTTGGTGTATGCCTTTCGGCAAACAAATTTTCTTAGTCGCTGGAACACTTGGCGCCATCATTCCTGCTCATTCTTTTCAACATTTTGACTTCTATAACGACCAAACAATATTTAGATAGATATAAATTCATCTTGATTTGTAATCCTTTTTCGATATATTTCGTATAATAATATAATAAGTAGTGGACAAACGGATAAACTCAAAAAAAATAAAAAATGGCCTGTAGTAGGTATCTGGTTCACTACTTTAAGTATCAGCACTGGCTTTCACATCTCAGGGTCAAGCACCGATTCTCTTGAAAAGTAGTTTTACCCCATCTGATAGAGCTTGAAGAATTCCCAAGGGGNAATATCCTTTTCAACAAGTTAAACTTCTGAAATAATTGAAAATTAATAGCATGATACAAGTACACATTCAAATCCAATTTTAAGAATGGCCGACAATGAGCATATTATTGAAATTGTTGATGACAACACCATTCAACTACGAGATGTTTGAAAGTCGATATATCAGCGTTTCCAAGAGTAGCATTGGGCCCCAAAACGGCAAGCCTTTGTTATTGTTATTATGTAAAAATAGTTGGTAATACATGGTGTTTGATATTCAAGTGACATCTTAATTTCTTGAATAATTATGCCTCCAAGTCCAAGACTTTAAGGGGGAGGTAGACCCACGTGAGTGTTAGCTCATGGCCTTCCATTTGAACAGCACAGACATTGAATTTAATTAACAGAATTCCCTTGCTGCTTTTAGCTCGACACTTGATTAGAAGGCTTATTCATGTAGTCCAATTAATTTTGAGGGTTAGAGATGCTTAACTTTGTGATAGTAATAATTTTTCATTAATAAATCTATATCTAACTGCCTGTGACAGTGATAAAATTTGATGGAAATCAAACACTTGCTTTTGGTCGACTCAATCAACAGGTATTCTCCAGGGAATGTCTATGCTTTTACGAAATTAGTGGTTTGGCCCATGCGTGATTCATAAGATTCTATAGTATATTATTTCACTTAGCCTGCCTCTCCCGTACCAACCATGGTTGCTGCCGACTAATAGGAAGAGCAACGTAATGGAGCCACTGGGATGGACAACGTGACGGAGAGCCCAGTCCATAGTGGCTTTAGAAACAATCTTTTACAGCTACCCTGAAGAGGAATAAATAACAGGAATTTAAAGAGATGAATATCAAGATGCAGTCCATACAAATATATATAATACAACATATCCTCCAATCTTTACTGTACATTAACACACCAAGAAATCATTGCAAATGGAAGATCAAATGAATAAAAAGAGGCTACAACGTTTAGAAGTCACATCTGCTAATCCATCAATTTCTAGTATGCAGTAATCTGTCTTCTAAGTTTCTTCCACGCTCCAAAACAATGTTGACAATTTCAGCTCATGAACGTCAAAAGTTGTCAGTTGCTGTCGGACCTAAGATTATTCTGGACGAATGTTATCATCGTGAGCATAACCTTTGCTCGCTCATAACATATCCAGATCCAAAATTTAAATATTAAATGGATCACTGGAAACTAAGGATCTACCAGTAACGGGAATGGAGGCAACTTGATGAAATTGTTGAACCATTGTGCTCTTGTTAATGCCCTTGGAAGGTGCAACACTGTTCTTTGCAGTTTGCTCCAAAAGTCGAACAAGTGATATAAAGATTTCCATTCTCGTGACATCCCTGGTTGCCTGATCAAACTAGTACAAATAAATGGTTGTTCCAGAGAACTAATAACAGATCACACCTACTGCACCCACGCACCCCAAGGAAAAAGAAAGAATATGGACAGAGGCAAGATTGGGGGAGAAAAAAAAAATAAAAATAAAAATTTACAGTATTCATGAACAGCTACAACATTTAGATAATAGAAGTTATTAGAGTTGAATAAAAAGCTTAAAGTCCAAGTGTTTTCAAAAAGCAACACGATCAAATACAATGCTATGGTCAATACTACTGAAAACATTACCTCTACAACAAAGCGTGCCCAGATATTGTCATTCCGATTTTCCATAATCCCCTTCAGAATGGTTAGCCCCATTCCTCTAATCAAATCAGCTATTTCCAGAAACAAACCTCGTTCTTCACAGAGCATCTGTCTCGAAAGGAAAAATTTTATATAATATCACTAAGCTTCTAAAAATAACAAATTCCAGTAACTTTAGGTCAATGAGCATAACTAATCTCATCTTGAGATCAAAGACATGCAAGGAATTACCTCCACAAGCATTTGACGAGGCTGATTTAGATCCTCAACTATTATAGGGCGGATCATAGATTGTGAACCAACTTCATAAGCCCATGTAGCTCCTCCTTCGAGTTTATCTCTTAAAAGTACTCCGCCATCCTTGTTAACAATCTGAAGCTCACAAAAGAATATAAGCAATTGTATATTTGTTTCAAGTCTGCTCTTACATTAATTTTTGTGCCAATTCTTTTGAATCAATTATTTACAAGCACGTGTGTATGTGAGGTCGTCAATTGTCCTATCCTAAGTCCAATTTTTATCAATTCTCAACATAGTTCAAAAAACAATCCAAAACTTGGAGATGTCCAAGTCCAAATCCCGTACCTTTGATTCTCCTGTTTGTTTTAGCATTTCAGCATGCTTTGTGACACTTTGCAAGAAAAGCATATGCTTGATAGTGCGTTCAAGAAGAGCATCAATGCTACACTGTTAAAACAAATTAAACATGGATGAATAGAACTAATAGATCTAAGAAATAGATTATCTTCAAAAGTAAATAGAAAAGTCGGACTGAAACAAGAAGTGTCACCTTAGCCCCATTTGGCACAATTTCCCTTAATTCCTTGACACGATCTTGGATCATTTGGCGATCTTTTGGTCTGGGTCTTGGATTTTCTCCTGGTTTAAGCCTCTTGCGAGTTGTTTTGCTCGTTTCATCAGGCTTTTGAGAGTATCCAGTAGACACACTGCTACTTTGTTTCATCTCACAGCCCTTTTCAATCCACGAATTTATTTGTGATCCGTAGATGGAGCTACATTGCGAAAGGGTTCCTGGATCAACCTTGGAACATCCAGACCTAAATGAGCAAGAATTCGATGTTTCCGATTTTACCATAAATTTTGGAATACCAAATAACTCTTCCTTCATTTGATCAGGAACCACAATCCCCCGAGAGGGAAGTGAAGCATTATTTGCAGAGGAGCCACTCGGATATGTGGATGTTGTCTTGCAAGAAACATTGTCATCCAAGCTTGAAGAATGAACCCTGGAGACCACAGCATCTAAGAGATGGTCACTGCCTGTCACGGAGAAAATACCACTATCTGAATTTCCTTTGCTAATAGGATATATTACAGAAGTACCATCCTGGCTTTTTATAGCTAAAGGATTAGTCTTGGCCAAGTTATTTGTATACAGATCTGGTTGACTGTTCAAGCTACCATTCCAGCAATTACGCAATAGTTCGTTCTTAAAATCAACACCCAAAATATCAAATAAGTCATCTCCTGATTGAGGTTGGACACATCCGTCTTCATATTTGGCATTTTTCGGTGGCAAATCATCATGTCCAAATTCACGTTGTCTGTTATCTTGAAAGCCAGAATTGATCTCAGCCAAATTCGAATGCTCTTCATGTTGAGAGTTGGTAACATTATTTGTGTGAATTATCTTTTTCTCCAATCTGTCCTCGGCTACTTTCAACTCGCTCTTTGCAAATTTGTTATCCGTAGAGAAATGTTTGCTACTGGAGCTATCAGCTAGGAAGTGATTTATAGTCAAATAGCATGAACTATCAGAAAAGGATGCTTCCATTTTGGACGAATTCGCATTAGGAAGCCCACGTGAGGTATTATGCATGGAGGCAATATTTCCATTGGATGGCCTATACATTGTATCTGGAACAGAATTTATTCCTGGTATTGATTTCACATGGACACCTGCACCTTCATGAAGTCCATTAACTTCAACTGATGGGATAGACCCAGAATCTTCAGTAGAACTGGAAATCAGGCCAGAATTTGTTCTCGGTGAAGACATCAGAATGCCAGTGGACACATTTTGGTTGGAAAAATGGCCTTGAGTTCCATCACCCGACAATATTTGACATTCTGCCCATCTTAAA